TAAAAACATTTTGTATTTGCCATGCATTGCGGATAGGCAAAATGAAAGTTCAAAAGATTTGTAAAGCGTTAAAAAGAGATAATAATCTGAATGTTTAATAAATTTAGCATTTAGCACGACGGTCTACGATCGTCCAAATGTTAGGCGCGGTATTTTATTTTATAACCGCCGTTGAACTGCGGACTCAATTTTCGAGTTTACGTCTACTAATGTTAAACTCCGTAGCCTTGTAATTTTGAACAAAATCCGGAAGACTAGAGAACTCCTGGCTTAAGTATTGAAAGAAATTTACCTTCGTGGACGACTTTTTCATGAAACTAACCTACATTTGAAGTTTCATGGAGAGGAAAACCATGAAAACTTCTAACGGTTAGCCTGGCGGCAAAGGGACGACGATCCGTCTACCACTGAGGATGCTTTACGTCAGCACTGTGGTCTGTGCGAGCCGGGTGCGGAATTAGTATCAATCAGCCATCGCTGGGACTCGTACCCGGTGCACCTCCTTGGAACGTGAACGCTTTATCCCCTGAGTCACTACGGTTCCAGGCACTGTATTGCCTTTTCCAGCTCTTGTGCCAGAAACTTACAAACAATTAATTAGCAAGACAGGCTACGTTTCCAGAAGAATACTTTCATAGATCATTATAAACTCAAAACTGAATAGACAACGACGGTTATAAAATAAAATGTTGAACCATAATAATTTTACTTTAAACCACACTGTAAAAAATTCTGGAGAAAAATACAGTAAAAATTTTTGTCACCTTAAGCTTTGGTACATTTTACCGTAAAGTTTTATGGAATAGAAAATATGATGTATTGTAATTTTTACAGTAATATTTACTGTAAAATCCCTGAATGGTACTTTACTTTGTAATTTTATCCGGTATTTTTTACAGTGCATAGTATCGTGCAAAATTTTTGAAACTGAAAATATACTTAGTTCTAACCACATTAAGCTGCAAACAACTTTCAGAAGAAATAATTTGCATGGCACTACTTAGCACTATTTGAAGTTTGCTGCAGAATTTGCATGGAAATATGCACACAATAAGCTCCAAAGTCTTAACAGTATAGGAATATGTTATAGTCTAATTGCGAAAACCACGAGGCAGTTGCACAAATCGATACGTGTCTATCATGTTTTCATAATTTGTCTTTTCAGAAAGGCAAAGGTGTTTTTGTTGTTTATAAGTCACTTGCCAAATACCGTCAAGCCTGTTTTGTAAAACTAAGTGAATCTAAGGCAGAGAGCGCTGTTTTTGTTTTTTAGTGGCGCCATCTATGGCCAACAATACGTCTGCAGCTACGCACATGTTACAGCCCATTTTTTAAAGGAGGACCCTCTAATTCATACATCCATTCATTCATCCACAAATCGTCATTGAACCAGAAAATGGTCTATCTCCAATTCAGTACCCCCAGAGGTATTGAGTTATTATGGGGAAATGGAGGATGTTGTGACCTGACAGATTTAACGTGTACCTGTCACTATTTACTGCACGAAGATCTTCGGTCGTAGGGGATTAAACTCATAACCTCTTGGACATGGTCCCAATTTCTTACCAACCAGGCAAGTGTTTTTTAATGCACTTATACTGCAATTAGTCCTGTAATTTGCGTAATTAGATTATATCGCTATATTTCGAAATATTCTAGTGTATTTTTAACTTTATATATTTTTTGGTATAAATAAATAAGTACTACTCGCATAGGTGCGTCTTATGAAGAGACCACTTTTTGTGGCCAGGTTGAAGTAGTTGAGAGTTGCGTAGTTGGTCAGTTTGAGTAGATTTTGTGGTTGATTGAAGTAGTTGAGATGTTTTTCTTTTCTTTTACAGGCAGATTAAATAAATCTGTTGTAATTTTTTAAATTATTTTTGTAGCTGAAATAACAGTTATTAATGTAAAAATATCAATATTATGCTTCAAATCGACGACAACGAAAATATGCCTTTAATATATGAATTAAACATGCTTTAATTTATTTATGTTTCCTTAAAAAAACTTACTTTATTTCTTCAGTAGTCTCGAAAACATTACCGAGACCCATATTATCATAAAAAGAAGCATCCTATGATTGAAAAAAATTTAATTATGAAACAGCTCTTAAGAAATTATATTTTTGAGTGAATTAAAGGTATTTCATTACCTCAGGTAATGGCTCTTTATCAGTGTTGATATAATTGAATTCCACTTTCCTTAAATATCAAAGAATTAAAATTATTTTGCTATACATTCCAAATCAGAATAATAATTTCAAAATTTAGTTTCTAATATAACAGAAAATAATGTATTGTGTAGTTAAATATTTTTCGAATAATTATAGATACATTTTAAATATTTATTAATTAATTTAATATAATTAATTTATTATATTAACAAATTTACTTGCACCCTATTGGACACTCAGCATTGCAAGCTTTAAATACTTCATCTTCAAAGACACCGAGACAGTACACTGTTAAAAAATAATTAAATTATATTAAAAACTTAGTAGAAGAAGAGATATTTTGAAAATTAAAAAATTATTAGGCTTAAGAACATGTAATACATGGAATAGGGCAATTCCTCAGTTTTATTCTGCACTATACTGTAAAGAATTTCTGTTAAAAAGCATAATAATTCTGTACTTTTCAACAGAAAATTCCTGTTCTTTAAAACTACAGATATTTTTAGTTAAACTTCATCGTAATATGTCAAAGAAGGCATTTTTTCTATTAACAAATAAAATCCGTAACCAATGATACAGATTATATCTGTTGGATACCGTTTTTTTCATAATAATTCTGTACTTTTCTACAGAAATTTCCTGTTCTTTAAAACTACAGATATTTTTTGTTAAACTACATCGTAATATGTCAAAAAATACATTTTTTTACTGTTAACAAATAAAATCCATAACCACTGATACAGATTATATCTGTTGGATACCGTTTTTTTCAGCTCTAAATATGAAAAACTTCGGTATCAAAGCAACAACAAATTATTTGTATAGTCGTTAAAGCGATGTCCTCATACCAGGAATGTATGAGTCATGCTTCGAAGCGTTTGAACTTAAGGATGAAAAAAAAATAAATAAAAATTCTCTGACGCGATTTCAAACATGATAGCTTTTGAAACCTAAAAAATCACGCAAAAAATGTGATAATTGAAAAAACTATTCAAAACTATTCAACTAGAGGGTATACAGCTATAGCTTTTTTCTGGTCAAATTAATTTTTTTTATACCTTAAAAGTTATTTGTACACTTACTTTGAGAGTTAAACTCACATGGTTGACCCCCGTACATTAAGGATAATCTTCGATATGAACAACCACATTGTTTTTCTGTCTGGTTCTTAAAACATTCTAAGAGACAGTTCTAAACAAAAAGAAGATAAATTTTGATTTTATAAAGAAATGGTTTCGAATGAGCGTGAACTTTAATTAACTAAACTATTTACTACTTTTAAACTAATTATTTTTGTAATACGATATAGCTTGGTAAATACTCCAGTTATTAATGTCAGCAATTGTCTTTAAATTTGATTCGCTAATAGGGGAAAAATGACTTTAATTTCAAATCGATTCAACATTTTAACAATTTAAGGACTGATTCTAGAATAATAAGGCAAGACAAATTTAAAAATTTTTAATTAGAGATTTTATTGAAATGAATAAATAATTTACCATTGATAGAATCAATGATATTAGAACGAAATCCCTAATCAACAGAGATAGATTTAAGGTTTAAAACTTCTTAATTAAAGATTATATTTTAGAATATTCCTTTGGCTACCCATCTTTTTTCTCTGTTGAAAAACTTACTTGTAATTTTCTTTGCATCTCTGTGTTTCTCTCTTTCATTTTGAGTTTCGATATTTAAGAAAATTCCAATTTTATTAGTAAATACGTGAAGTGAAAATAAACACACCTTTTGGCTCATTTTAGCTCCTGTTCGGATTTCTCTTTCTTTTGAATAATTGCGGCATCTTGTTTGGTAAGGGCTCTCGAGTAGATAAGTTGTTACCTGCAATAAATATATTTAACTTGATTTGTTATCTTAGTTTTATTTTTAAGCAAAATGCCTATTTTTAATCTTATTTAAGATGTGTATTGCTGCTAAAATTCAAAAGCAGTTAATATTTTCATTACCTATCTAAACTGCAAATTATCTAAGGTAATCCGTTAAAGTGCGGAAGACGAGTGGAAGAAATTAACACTAGCCGTCACACAAGGACTTGTGGAAAGTATGCACCGGTGGGTTCACGCTGTAATTGCCTCTCGTTGAGGCTCTACCAACTATTGACTATGAATAAAGTTTGCTTTTCTTTTCAATCACACGTGTCGCAATGCAATACTTATTGGTAGATAGTGTATAAGACCATTTGTTTTTCTAAAGCACATAAAGTAAGGGTTAAGGTTCAAACGTTAAGAGACAGCAGTTTCAATATTTGAGAGATTTTGCATAAAGGGTGTCTTACGTGAACCGTAACTCAGATCTACTACGCATTTTTTACTCCTCATTGACCTTGCGATTAAGTGGGAAATTTTCGCGCATGAGGTGTGAAGCTCTAATAGCGTTAACGTTAGAATGACGGAGAACAGCAACTCTTGTCAAAATCTTGCTATTCTCATATAAAGAATGACTTTCGCCAGAAAACAGCATTCATTCGATGGTTTTTGTTGTTTCATCCCATAAGCAGTACACTGATTTTGGTATCAGTCCTTTCCATACACTGTAATATTATTAGATTCATTACATGTAAACCACATTGTCTTGAACAAAGTAGGTAAAAAAAGGCGAACTAATAATTTTGTTTTATAACCTCAAAAAATAACGACATGGAGCTTTCCTTAACCTATACATAATTTATTTTCGCATATGTAGAGTGGTACCACATATTAGTTATGATTATCTCACATATTTATGCAAATACAATACAGCCATTATTGTTATTTCTCTTACCAACAGAGATTATAATTTATTTCTTGATCTTTATAAGCAAAATCAAAATTTAAACCTTTTGAATGCTGTATGAATAAAAGGCTCCTGCTTCTAAACTGGCAGCATCTTGAGTAGGGTTAGGAATAATGTCATTGTCATGCATGACCATTCGTATGTAGCCAGCTGGGGGACCTGTCATGTTACTGTAGTTATCTACATCAATATTTAGGCAAATAACTAACTCTGCAACAAACAGATAATACTTTACAAAAAATGGATTTTTTTTGGAATAAAATATCGAAAATGCAGTTGCACAATTAAGTTTCTCGAATTATTGACTTCAAAATTTTTTCACGATATCTATATCCTATTCACAGAATCCCAGTAAATTGACTGACTGATTGCAAAATTAAAAATCTCGTAAATAAAAAATAATGGAGAAATAAAGCAAACGGTAATACGTAATGGCTTTAAAAATGTTGAATGGAAATTATGAAATTCAGTTATAAAAACTGCCAACAGATAGCGCTGCAAGCGATTGATGATCAGAGCGATCAGTTTTAGCTCGAAAACGTAAAAGGAGGTTATCGTACCGGGAATAGGAGGTTTAAATCATGTATTTCAATGAGCTGGTACTGAAATATCACAGGTTGGATTATAGTCCTATGACATTTTTATTCCTTTCAAGAACACTGTATAGAGAACAGCGTCATCTCCTGGCAACTTTTGTAACTCAATCATAAAATTTGTTCATAAAAGGTTTACAGCTTTCATAATAGACATATCGATTGTTCCATTTTTTATCGCACTTTGTTTCAGAGGTTTTAAATTTTTAAATCAGTCAGTCCACCGCTGGGTATCATGTTGAGGACTGATGATAACAGCAACTATCTACTTACATAGATAAGATAATTGTTCTTCATCTTGTATAATAGATATTTTTAACACATGATACTAAAAGTTTAAGAAATTGCTTTTATAACTGAATTCATCCACTGAAAATAAATAACTACTTTTCTAAATAAATGTTACTCTCTAAGTTCATAACATACCTGAAGATTTTCCTGTGATAGGATTAAAAAGAACTGCAGATTTTATACTCCATTGTTCTCCCCAACGAGCATTAAATGTAAAACAGTTCGTAAACTCATAATCATAAAACTGAGCAAATCTGCAAGCATAAAAAATAAGTGAGCATTACTTTAATACAATCTTTCGAAAATTTTAATAATAATTTTTACTGTTAAATGAAATAATTAGGGAAACAAATAATGATCAATGTATCTTAATTATAATAAAACTTCAAAACTTATTACGTTTTAAAAATGCATGATTTCGTAAAAATAATAATAACAATTACTCAATTTTTATAAATCTGAATGATTGCAACAAAAAATGCGACCATTCTTCAATTGTGTAACATACATTGCCTCTAACTGCAAGCATTTGTTTAGATTGACAGATCACATGTTGTGCCTCTCTTGCTGTCCATTGGATGTTTTTTTAAAGGTTTTATTACCATTTTAAGTAAAAGGAGAAATGTGGGTTGCGAACTAATTCCTAAAGATAAATTAGCCCTAATACTTGGCCAATGAATTTTCCTGCTTTAAGAATTGGTTTAAAGTAACAAATTGATTATTAAGAGTTAGTCATCTTCTATATGTATCGAAGGTTCCACGATGGTAAAATTACCGTACTGTATGGTAATGGCATTTTTCTGGTAACTTTGTCTGGTAACAAAACCAAAATAAACTGTTTTTAAACCATTTGGTAATTTTTCCGTTCCTATTGCAACGGTTTAGCGAAAATTCTGGTTTTCAAAATTATAGTTCTTATTACTACACATTTAGTAAAAAATACAAAACTGAAAAGTAAATTTAATCGAATAAATGGTTTTTAAGCCATTTTCTAAGGTATCATGATAAAATCACCAAATTTTATTCTTTTAAACAAATTTTATTGCATATTATACAAAATTTTGTTGTTGTTAGTTTTACCAAAATCATCACCAAAGTGCTGCGGTAAAAATTACTGAATTTTTTGGTGTTCCCATAGAGCCACAAACTCGGAGTAATACCACGTTCAGTGTGGTATTAAACAAATTAAAGCTATTTTCTTTAATTGTCAAAGTTTCGGTTAATAATACATTTAATTTCATAAATATTTCATACCTCACTTTATTTACAGTGCAAAATATTAATTTAAAATAAAAGTGGTACATACAATCATACAACTTACGGTTCAGTTAATACTATTTCAGCGAATTCGGCATAAAGAACGAAGTCTTCAAACTGGTTTCCTAATTTGATTCTTTTTTCTTTGCTCAACTTATCATACTCATCAGCTTGTCGTTGTCGAACATCCTTTAATTTATAATTTATATATTATTTATAAGTAACTATTAAAATGTATCGAGAAATTTCAAATTTTTCTCAAAATTAAATTATTCATTTGGGTTTTTAGGGCCCAAGCAAAGGATTTTAAATTATTAGCCAGTAAATAGCCAAATATCAAAAGTATCCGCAAATGTTCGAAAGTCTTCGCCAAATGCAAGTCTTAAAATTTTTTTATGATTTTTTTTTTTTTTTCGTAGAAAACTATTTTACGGTAGTTTGTTTCTGGTTTTTACATTATTTGGACCTAATTTTAATTGGTTATGCGGAGCATCTACCAAAAATTACTGTAATCTTAAAAAATGCTGATTTGTTTAAAAAAAATTCATTTCGACGTAAATTTGAGGATCAAGTTGTATATTTTTCGTTGCAGTGTAAAAAAATCATTCGGCAATATTTTTGCCCAAACATAATTTTATTCGCCAAATTTACGATTTTATCACATTTGACGAGGTGGCGAATGTATAGCGTAGGCCCTGGGTTCCTATGTCGTCGACAGAATAAAACATATAAAATGGTAATAAGTAGGTAAATAGTTCGAAGAATACATAATCGACAAGCTTGTGAACTCACGACATATTGGACTCACATATTTATGACATCATAGCACAAAGTGGCTGACCAAGAGTTCGACGCGGTATTGCCTGTTTTGGCTATTGCGCTTGGTGACAAAAATTAATTTATCAAGCAAAGTGATCTAACGTATTTAGAAAAGCAGCAAGTATGAATTTGAGTATCTCAGGGGATAGAGATTTCTACTTCTAATGATGAGATTAACCGGGTTAGAACAAATTCCACAATGAATGGTCAATACGAATTCCACACCCCGCTCAAATATTCTCAGTGATAGATGGATCATGGATTAGAGTCCTCTTGCCGTCAGGCTTATAATGGGAGGTTTTCGTGGTTTTCCTCTCCATGTCCGGGAATTTTCTTGTGAATTTTCAAGCAGTGGAAAAAAATTTCGTAAGGAATTTTCTCCCACTGCTCGACACAGGAGTTGCCTTGTTTTTCTGATTGGGTTCAAAATTACAAGGCAGAGTTGAGCATTAGTAGGGGAAGTAAACCCAAAATTGGGTCGACTGTTCAACGACGGTATATAAAGTATGAATCGGAGAGCCGCGGTGGCTCAGGGGATAGAGTGCGCTCCAATAACACAGAATCACTAAGCATGAAAACAAAGTTTGTTCAATGATCAAAGTAAAAACTCGTAGAATTCCAATGAAATAAAAGAATTTTTATTTTTTAACACATGAATTGCTTCCGTAAAGTTTTGTTAATATTGATCAGGGGCTAACTGCCGTGTGAGTCTCACTTGGCAACTATCAAACAGCATAGTTATATTCCTTGGCTACTGCAGCAACATATTACTGTTTTACAAACTACTTAAGAACTTTCTCATAAATCTACAATTAGTTTTTAAAACATTGGATCTTTTAAATCGATGTAATATAATTTCAATCCTTTTATTTTGATTTTAATCCCGTTCTTTTAGTAGATTTTAGACATCGTATAGCGCAAATATGGCTCTTGCACGAAAACACATCTGACACAAATCTGTTTATTGATTAGGATTTACTATAATAACATTTAAAATCTTAGAATAAAAATATAATTGATGCTTTAATTATTAGAAGGAAACCTTTTCTATTTTTTTTTCAAAATTAAGAACGGGAAAATACCTTTTTCTTAAAAGTTACACAATGCAAATGTGTATATTTTAAAATTATACAATGACGTAAATTTTATTTACTTTTAAAGTTTCCCCTGGTTTGCGAACGCATATGGAGGGATTTTCTTTACACCACAGCTTATATCTAATCCTGAAAAAAAAATGTATAATTTATTAAGAACGGTAAGCCACCTTTTATTTTGTATAATTACTAAGCACAGTGAAACAATTTAAAATTGTTTCATTTGTGTAATAATTTTTCTTTTCACTAAGACTTGTTTGAGAATTTATGAAAAATATAATTTTCATTTGTGTTTATGTAATCAAATGTTACGTTCTTTTTTTTAGAAACAAATTGGCAAATTACGAAATTTAGACGCTATTGGCCGAACAGTTCTCGAGAAATCAAAATTTAAATGGAGGATTTTTAAAAATTTGATAACTTGGAATCTATTTGACCGATTATGCTCAAGATTTTGCAATCCAAGATTTTTTAAAATATCTAAAAAATTGTATGTCTTTTTAATCAAAACGTTTTCGACCATTGTTAAACAAATTATTAAGAAATAGCAAATAATTATTAAAAGCTATTTTTTGCATGGAATTATCATTGTTTAAAGAGCAAATTTTAAAATTGTGTGCAAAAATTTTCGATTCTTTTAAGATCTGGAGATATGGCTATATTTTTCAGATTTTGGCTATCCCCTGTATTTTTAGGGCCAAAAATGAAAATCTATTAAAAAAAGGCTTGTTTATTCAGAAAAAGTACGTTTTTGTGTCTGATTTCGTAACTTAAGATATCATCTGCATAGAGTGCTCTGTTCCTTTTTTGTACAATGAACACATTAAAAAAACGAATACTATGGTAGTTTTTGTTCTAATGAATGAATTTTCACTTGCTAGTATTCAACCTTTATGGTTAGAGGTGCTGTCTTTAAGCATGTTTATTAATTAGTGCAAACAATATTTTAAGTTGCGGAATGAGATCAAAGGGAAGTAAAATACACTTTCCCAACGTAAGCACACCTTTTATCTCAACGGATTTGGATTCTAGAACCACAAAATATATGGGGTAGCCGCACCTTAAAAGTATGGTCACTATGTAATATAAATAGCGAAGAGCGCTGTCGAAAGCTTTGACCCCGTTATTTTGTTCCCATTTTTGCATATTTCATGATCTGTGTACAACTAATTAAGTAAATCGAAAAATCTTTTTACTCAAAAACTTATTTATCCAAAGATAATTCGACACAAAAATTATTTTTTGTTTAAGTCTATTTCTACTATGTGTAGAATAGCGTTAAAAGAAAGCAATTGAAATACATCATGATTGTTTTTTAAATATTTACGTTCGACATGAAGATATTTTGCCCATAGATATTTTTTTATAGAATAACATTTATTTTATTAAAATCCTAGCTAATTGGGATATGTTTCTACGTTTGACTGTTCACGTTGGAAGTTAATTTTAACAACACTCGGAGAAAAGAAGTTTACTCACTTGTACTGAATAAAAATATTCTCACTAACTCTAGACGATTAGTTCAATATAGATATTGCACCCATTTTTTTAAACTTCATTTTTAATGCATATGCTGTTGCAGATGTGATATAACATCAATTAGTCACTGTGCCAATGAATCTAAACAAATTTACTACTTACTTAATTTCTAAAATTAATTAATTTGAAAGATATAAAATTTATTACTTTATTTGCTGTGATAAATTTAGCTTAGAAAGTTTACTATGTAAATGTTTTTAAAATTTATGATAGTGTATTTGGCATATCTGCAAGTCCACAAACACAGTATAAAATCAATTTGTAGCTTTTCCACTAAAAAAACTTGCATTTTATTTTTAAATTGACACAATAATTCCTCAATTAAAAATGTTTGTAAGCAAAAGACTGATTTGAAATATATTAATTGCTTATAACCACAGAGTGTTTTTTTCAATTATTAATACGGTATTTATATCTTTTTTAGTTGATACTTTAAGTGGATACATTTGATTCAGAAAAATAGGCAACTGTTTCAGTACGATTCAATAGCGAACAGAAACAAAAACCTCTACTTACGGATTGGCGTTGCACACTGTTACTGCTGGAAAATCAATTTCCACATCGTTTGAAACATAGTACTCTACATTAGATGGGTATTCATAGAACATGAATAAGAACGATAAGCTTTGGTAAAGGAATCCACCTAGAATGCTGATGCTGCCTACGATGTAAATGCAATACTTCCAATTATTAGCTGTAATGTTGAAACAGTTCTTTTTCTGATTTTTTCTTTTACTCATGCGTTGTAAAAGTTGGTCATCCTCTTTCCAGAAAGAATTGGTTGACGTATGGCTGGCAGGGCTGATTTGGTCTGGATGGACGCGGCGCTCAGAGTTTTTATTTTCGAAAGTCATTTTTTGTGACTTGGAATGTTTTGGTTTATGTTCCTTTGTTCAATTTTATTCTCCATGCAGATTAGGGAGTTCCTGAAAAATAATTGAAATATAATGCATGTAAACAGATAGTGTCATAATTAAGTGGTGCAGCATGGTTTGTTTTAAAATAGAAGAATTAATTTTGAAAAGAGACTCTCAATTCGTAATGAAAAAGGCTGATCATTATTTTTACTTAAGCAACAGTTATCTACGAATTTTCTAAAATATATTTGAAATAAGTACTAAAATTTTTCTTTTTACTATTCATTACATTTTAATATTTTTGCCCTTGATTTAACCAATTTATATATACAAGATGCGATGCAACTGCATTTCATGTATACAAGAATGTTAGATGAAACCCATCATCTTAACAGCTTTGAATTTCTACTCGCTTTAGGAATTTTAAATTTTATATAACTGTACTACAGTGCTTACCATTTTTATTAAGTTTTATCCCCTTATGAACGCATTTAACTTTGCATTATTTCAGAGTATTCATCATTTTACTTGATTTTTCAAGTATTGTTTTATTTACTTTTAATCTGTTTTTAAAACTGCATATTTCCTTTTTGGACCTTGAACCATTAAACTTTATATTCAATTCAATTTAATTGCTCAACTTTTAAATAATGCATAAACATGTCTAAGAACATATCAGAAAATGAGGTTTCTCTAATATGTGTTGCTTATAACATCGCATAAAGATAAAATGCATTTGACATTAGTTGAAATTTCAACCAGGTTTGAACGATGGAGAAATGCAATCAGTTATTCGTTTTTTATGAACGAAAAAAAAAAGAATAATCCATTTTACTATCTGAAGTGCATCTGGAAAAGTTTACTGGAATACAGTTTTGAGGTATTATAGCATCACGTAACAAAAGCTGTAGTGCCCAACTAGAACAATAAATTTTTTTCGTATTTGGTATAAGGCAGTTTACTATTAGGATGGTAATTAAATCCATAATTAAATCCATTGTCTCATCCCAGTTAATCGTATAGTCTCCTTTGTCTCTTGCGCAAAAATTAAAACTAACTAACTAGCATCCCAGTTAATCAATGCCATCAACGTAACTCGACTATCTTGCTCATATCCTAAATGTCGATCTTTCCGGTTTATAAATTATAACATTTCATTATTTTATTACATTTACAATGCATGCTAATAATTTCATAATCAAAGTTACGTACCGGCAGCAGCCTCGCACAAAAAAGTAATAAATTTATTTTCTGAAGGAAATTAAGATTTTTATTTGTTATGTCTTTGCATATATATAAATAAAGTCAATCGGTGCACATCTCGGATTTTACAAAATTTGAAATAAAGTGCGGCAAAAGTTTCAGGAAAAAGCCTTAACCCGTAATTTCATAAAGAACACTGTAGTGAATCAGAAAGGGTTAACAAAAAAGTGAGGATTTTCCAAAAAGAAAAGAAGAAAAGTGCTGCAGATAATAGTGCATTTCACCAAAAAGGAGTATGGAAGTGCAACATAAGCCAATATATATTTTTTTCCATCAAAAAGCTTTAGTGTATAACGATATTTTTAGCCATTTATTCTTACACATAAAATAAACTAAATAACTGCATATTTCATTTTAGAATAAATAAATATATTTTCTGCTAAAATCTAAAATATGTATTGATATTGAATCTTACTCGGTTAATCATTCTTTTCATCGTAATGCCCATTTAGAAGTAGTGCTGAATACTTTGTAAACATACTGGTTTTTCATATCGATTCATAACTGTCAAATGGTCTTTGAATCTCACAAACCATAACAGTTTTCAAGATAATTTATCTTAACAAAAAACATACCATGAAAACTAAACTATATCTGACACACTTACGTTGAAAATCCTTTTATACTATTATAAGAATATTACAAAAAAGATGGATTTATCCAAGTAGCACCTGTTGCCACAAAACAAATAAAAAATATTTTTGTCCTTTCATTATCGTTTTCAACTTGTTATTGCATTTAATATTCTAATTAATCGTACGATTTCTCAGCGGTTCTGTAATCGATGAAAGAAATTGCGTGTGTAGTTAGCTATGATGTATTTATATTTTGCATCTTTTTTGAATAATAAGTTAAACAAGTTTTATTTAAGACAAGTTTGATAAATTACATTCCAGAGTTTGTGTTGTTTTGCAAGAATTAATGGTGAAAAATAGTGTAGCGTGCATTATCAGGTGATGTGTGGATATTATTTTAAAGGGAAGAGTTAAAATAAAAATTGCGAAAATAGAATAGTAAAAACGTACGTTGTTTTGGAATTTTAATAATCAAGCTTAGTGTTTCTATAGATGATAGGAATAAATAAGTTAAATATTGATATTGTTTTGGAAACAATTTAAAAGCGGAAAAAAAGCAAAGGTAAATTGATACTTTATTTTTCCATTTTGTTACCCTTTTGTAATTACAGTAATCATGTAGATTGAAAAGTTTTTATTACACTAAATTTGCATTTTGTAATTTTATTTTCATCAAATGAGCGGAACTGATAAAGTTAAAATGAATTTACTGAGTTTAAAATTAAGTAAGCGTTTGCTAGTTTTTGTTGTTACTTTATAGAAGTAAAATTTAATTACAAAGAATCATAATTTCATGATTGTATTTCAACGAATAAGGAAAAATTCAAATATTTATTCTTATACTTAATAGTTTTTGGTAAGTTATAAAAGTTGCATTGTGTTTTGAAACTCATTACTACTAGTAAAAAAAAAATATTTTAATTTAAGAATTTAGTTTAAAGTTCATTTCATTTATAGTTTGCATGGAAGCGATATAGTTTTTAAATAAAAATGGAAGCTTTTTACACGTGTAGAAAAGGTAAGAAATTTATAATGTTATCACGCAAAACCAGCCTTAATGTATGGATCTATCGACTGGTGATTTTTGTTCTGGAAAATGTTAAAGACAAAAGGTTTAGTGGATAATTTTTTAAAGTAGAATGAATATCCTTCTTGTTATGTTTTGCGTAGTTTCTTGCTCGTAACTGTCTAAAAGTCGGTTTGTATTGTTGCTTTGTTTTACATACAGTATGTCGGGCATAGATGAATAAATATAAGCTTTAGAATTAAATTTTTCACATTTTTTTAACGATGTAAAAAAACGAAGAAAAAAGGAAAAGAAATAACAAATTTTACTAGTACAACTATTTTGTTGTTCAATATAGTAAATTATTTTATAACGTGTAGCACTAGTCATGGAAAGTGAAATACTTCTGAAATTATTTTGAAGGAAAGAAACATTATAAGAAAATAATTGGAAACCAAAATGATACTATAAAAATACATTGAATTTGTGGCATCGTCCCAATATGTGATACCTTACTTAATCGTGTAGTTATTTTACCAATCGCTAGGTGGAGCTACTAAAAGTGTTGTTTTTAGACATTTTTATCCTCTGTCATTTTATTAGGGTTCATAAAGAAGCATTATTTTTACTAAATTTATTATTTCATTTATTATAAATTATAATTAAAAAAAATAGTTTTATAAAAATTTTAATGGACCATCCATCATTTTAATGGGCCATGCAGTGCAATTACACAGTTTACCAAGTTATATCGCATATAGGAACAGTACCGAAACTGTTCTGTTACTTTATTTTCACTGACATCTAGTCAAATTACTTCTAAAGCTTTATTTACGATTATAAAAAGTATTTAGCTGCTTTTTTAAATTTGGATTTAGAGTGAAAGCTATTTTGACTGAATTTCGAAATTTAAATATTATTAAAATATTGTTTCTTTAGTCTATGCAATTTTTCTTAATATTTTTAACAATTCTATATTGTAAATAAATTTTGCTTCAAACTTAAATATTTTACACGTAAAATTTTATTCAAGAAAATTTCTTTTTCTAAAGCGTGTGGTTTACTAGCATTTTCTTCAAACAGTTTGCAAACGATCCCTAACAAAAAAAATTTTTTTTACATACTTTGTTTTGAAAAAATTCGATTTTATTGATAAGTACCATCCCCTTTTTTGACGAATAGAATTTGAAAAATGGAAGGTGTGGCATCTATGTAAGCACGAATAAGAGACATCGTGTCAGTTGTTAAAAACATAATGTGAGCGTGTAAAAATTCGATTTTGTTTCGATTTCAACTTTTACTACTTATTTTGTTTACAAGTTGATTTACAGTCAACAGTTAACGACATAGTTTGATATTATTTATAATTTTTTAAGACGTATCTAGTTTAGTATTCTTTAAAATCAATTAATTTATATGAAATATAAAATATGCTAAAATAGATTAAAACAAGTACACGTATACAGTAGTCACGTTGAATTAAAATAATCTTACTTTTATTTAAAAATTTTAGAGTGAAAAAATGTATGTTTCTCACTCATTGTAGGAGAAACGTGTAAGATTTTATTTAAATGGAAAAAGCAGGTTTTTATTTGGTGAGGAGTTAAAATGCAAAAACCTGCTTAGTTGCATCTCTGTCGCAGGTGATTTAATTAAGTATTTATTAATAACTAAAAAGTATTTAAAAAAAATTAAATGTCTTTTATTCTGAACAAATAAGCATAAATATAAGTTTTAAATTTGTTTTAATTTTAACTTCTGATTAAAATAAAAATGTTTTGAGCTTGTTAGGAAGTTATGAAAAACCTGTAGTTATGAAAAAATGTTTTCTCCCATTTTCTACTTATGTTAATGTCATTAATATTAAAAATATTTAAATATTTCATATTGTTGTGGAAATGCATTTTATTACTGATATCAACAATTTTGTATCATTTAATATTTTTTCTAAATTATTAGCGATTCATACAAGTTCATGTTACTCAAATTTCAAGCTTTACATTTTAAAAATATTTTCATATCAATTTTTACTATAGTAATGTCTGCCTTTTCATTTTATTTATTTTAATTAGTGATAATATTATAACTTTCGATGCAGTAAAAATAAATTTTGAGCTTGTTTGAGCTATAGAACATTTCAAAAAGTCCTTAAATACAGTAGTTAGTACTAAAAAAGACTTTTTCACCAACCAACTACTTATATTAATGTTGCTAATTCTAAAACTAATATTTAAATATTTTATATTGTTGTCGAAATGCATTTTAAATAATATTTACTGATATTAATAATTTTATTTCATTTAAAATTATTAATATTTTATAACTATATCTTCTATAACTATCTCTTCTATAACTATCTCTTCTATAAACTTATCTCTTCTATTTTATTAGCGATTCATACAAGTTCAAATTATTCAAGTTTAAAGCTTTACATTTTTAAAATATTCTAGTAGCAATTCATACCATATTAATGATTGTCTATTTCATTTTACTTGTTATAATTAGAGATAATATTTTAACTCTCATAGAATGTTTGGGTTTTAGAACATTTAAGAAAGTTCTTAAATCTAGTAATTAGTCTGAAAAAAAAAACTTTTTCACCAACTTACAGCTTACATTAATGCTGATTATGTAATGACTTTCGTATCTATAATAATAGCAAGTCATAGTATAGTAATGCTTATCCTTTTACAAACATATTTATTTTAGTGTTTATTAAATTTAACAGTTTTCATTTATTTTAGTGGTAATTAATTTTATATTAATTACATAAAGATGAAAATGGATGTATGGGAAAGATACTCTACAACAAAAATGTCTAAAAAGAAAAGCAATGAACCAATGCAAAATGTCTTCTTAGTGAAGAAAACTTTAGCCTATCGAGTACTTTATTTTTTGGGAGCTATAGCCTATTTTTCAGGATGCTTATATCAGACATTGGCTTTTTTAAAAATATACTTCAAGTATCCAACTACAATGGAAGTTAATGTTAAACAAGCCCCTGTTCTCAAATTTCCAGCGGTTACAGTATGTAATGGAAACAGGTGAGATAAGTCGATTTTGTTTCTTGATTTGACATTTCATTTGACATTTTTTTTTTAAATTGTAGGTCTATTTTAAAATTATTTACCGTATTTTTATTTTATTTGTGGAATGACTGCCTTTATTGTAGAAACTTTACCAAAAGTGAAAGCGAAATAATATGTACATTAGAAGTCATAAATAATATTTAAAAAAAATGTAACAAATCACTATTGCACTGAGAAAAAAAGTATAGTTAAAAGTACCAGAATATAGCAAAATTTACAGTGTTTCTGGCTCTATGAATACACCAAATAGCCTGGTAAGTTTTATCGAAGCTTTTTGGTAATGATTATGGTAAATTTAACAATAAGTTATGTTTTTTTAATAATTAATAATAAAATTTGGTAATTTTATTATGATACCTTAGATCATGGCATAAAAACCATTCAGTTAAATTACTTTTCAGTTTTGAATTTTTTTCTAAATGTCTGGTAAGATGTACTACAATTTTGAAAACCAGAATTTCCGGAAAACCATAACCATGTAGACAGAAAAAATCCCCAAATGAATGGTTTAATATTTTTATATTATTAATCAGAACTATGTTTCTTAATTTTTTTATTAGAAATGTCATTACCGTACAGTATGGTAATTTTACCAAGCACGGTAATGATGTAGTATATGTAATGCTTGGAATTCGCGAAATAGTTACATTTTTTGACAAGGGGGAGAAAGGGGATAGCAAGAAGTGAGACATACACTTTATTCGAAATTAATACATAACTACATTCTTAATCAGCAGATTTATACGATTTGTGTTCATATTTTTTTTCAAATCAAAATAAGTATACATCTATAATCATGATTTTTGTTACACTCATATTTTGTCATTGAAACATATAGTTGCTTAAAAATAAAATATGATCTATAATGTGAGCATTGTTTCTAAACTGATAGCATATGCTTACGTGGCATAGCGTGACATGTGACAAGGAAGTCTTGGGTGTGGTGAAAGGACAAAATGGGATAAGGAGGGTCAAAATATTGAAAGAAAGTGTGACGTCTTTTACGGATGGATTCTAGGAGAATTTTAGATAACCAGATTTACAATGTGATTAAAAAGAATTGTTTCATGAAATAGTTTTTATCAAAAAAAAAAAAATCTATTTTAAAGACTGCGAAGGAAATAATAATCTATAGAGTCGGTATTGCGTTAGTTACATTTTAGATTATAAAGTTTTATGAACATCAGATTCTAATTTTTGTTTAAATAATGAATTTTTTAGATAATTTTATTCAGCAAATGTTTCATTTCAGATAAGTTTTTTTTCAATAATTGACACTCTCATTTCTATTTATTGCAGAGTTCGACAAAGTATGTGGTGCAACTTGGATAAATCAATTTGTGAGAAAAATGAAGGCGAAAGTGATGATGTATGTTGTAGATTCACCCAGTATTTTAAAATACTGAGTAAACTCAGTCAGTTTTTTAAAAAACAAGTGTATTTTCAAATTTAAAAAATAATTCTAATAAGAGGTTAATTCAGTTCCTTATCATATTTTTGTTTTTTTCTTAATTAACCTCAAGGACAATTGATTTAATACTTTAATTCAGTACTAAAGTATTTTTTAGGCTTTTTGTGTGTCTTAATATGCTAATATACAGCCAATAATATTTTCTACAAAAGACCTTTTCCTTGCAAAAATTAATTATTGTAAATTATTGATTATTGTAAAATTGTAATTATGGTATTGTTGCTTAAAAAATTATTGTAAATTATTATTAAAATATTGGTTTGTTCGGAAAGTAAATTCGTTTTTCCCAACAGAGAACTTAACTGTATTTTTTTCTTGTTCAACTTCCAACTTAAACCATGCAATCATTATACATTTTAACAGCTGATGTAACAAGGTTTACCTTGGTAATTTTGATTGATTATACGCAATAGTTTTTTTTTTTTGGTTGGTGTCCTTTCAAATATAGAAAGTGGAAAAGCAGCATTTTCGGCATAGTTAACTTTTTTAATATCGAAAAGATAAAAACACTGTTCAAGCAAGAAAAAAATTATTCGATGAATACGGCAATGCCAAAGCTGGTTTGCAAAGTTTCGATTCAAAATAATTTCGATAAAAATGCACGATGATGCACCACACCAGTTTTAGCCGATAAAGATGCAATAAAGGTATTAATTGATGCACACCGGCGAATGACAACTTGGGAAATTGCAGAGACATTAAATTTATTGATTTCGACCATTCATACTGCTTTAAAAAGAAGAGTTTAATCTCCAAGTTCTACATATGGGTCCCTCATGTTCTTACTGTAAGAAATTTGTGCCGCCGCTTTGATGTCTGTGATTTGCTTCTCAAACTTTAAAAAAAAAAAAATCAATTTTTGAAGGGCATCATCATTGGAACCGAGAAATAGGCTGCATGCTTGCTAACTTGTAAGGTCATTGAAAAAGACTTTATGAAGTGGTTGTAAAGCAATAATTAAGTTTGAAAGGATTTTCTAAAAACAGAATTATCAAGCCATATCAAGCAACTATCAAGCATAAGTATAATTAGTCAACAAATAGATCTTTAGTATTGTCTCATATTTTTTTAAAAAAATTATTGATTCGTCGTGGGGGTTTAATTTTTTTTTTTTGAAACTTAAAACTTCAAGATTTTATAAGCCAAAACGCTAATGTTGCTACCATTAAGAAAGTTATTTCTCAACGGCGTGCAAATTGGCAGCCATGATGTTATCAACAACAAATTTTTGGTTTCTAAAAAATTTTAATTATTTTTTTTACAAAACTTTTTTACACGGTAAAACTTTTACTTCAAATAAGGAGAAAAATCACCTGGATCAGTTTTTTTTTTGCCAGATCAATCTTATGCACGTGGAATCATGTTACTGACAGAAAAATGGCAATGGTATTTGACCAGAATAGACAATATATGATTCAAAAAAATATTTTTTCTTGATGATTGGTCTTTCATTTTCATGAAAAAGGTAAACAAAATTTTCCCGAACTCCCCAGTACATCCTATAAACGCAACGAACGCAATATAGCCATTTCTTACTTTTGTGCAAATAAACTTTAACCAACCAACATTGCGTTAAATTTTGTGATAAAACGAATTGAAATTGAAGAAACCCACTTTTAGCATTAATGTTAAATATCTAGTGATTGGCGACTTTAGTTAATAGTTTGTCTTATGGCGTTATTTTAATGCAGTTTTCTTTTATATCTTTTTAGATTTATGTAACTAGAATGATGGAAGCCTATAAATATTTGAACCGATCTATTAGGATAACTATGGGTCACACCAGAGAAGATTTAATTCGATCTTGCCAGTTTGAGGAACGAATTTGCGACGGTTTGTGAGTATTTTAGGAGTTCATTTAATTATTTTGACAAAAAAAGTGTTTAAGAAAAAAAAGTTCTGGTACAATTACCCTACTGTATGGTAATGACATTTCTTCTAAAAAAACTTATTTTTCTTAAAAATAATTATACAAAACGGTATTTAGACCATTTATTTGATAATTTTTCCTTTCATATGGCAACGGCTTACCGGAAATTCTGATTTTCTAAAATATGGTTCGTGTTACCACGCAATTGGTAAAAATACATAACTGAAAAGTAAATTTAACCGAATATATGATTTTCATACCATGCTCGAAAGTATATGATAAAATTACCAAATTTTACCACATTTACCTAGTTTTTTCTCATAATAAAAAACCAAATTTTATTGTTAATTTTACCAAAATAGTTACCAAAGAGCTTCGGTAAAATTATTTTGGCGATAGAGCATGGTACATGGTAAAAAACATGGTGTATTTTACCATATTTTCGTAATTTTGATCATGTTTTTTTATATCAGTGTACACGGTTTAATTTGGTTACACATTTAGAAATTTTTAACTAATACGATTTTTATATGATAATTTCAGTTTTGCCGTTGAGTAATTATTTATTGTAACGTACGACTTTCTGTAATAATTGCTCTCAAAAATATGCGACTTAACATGAATATGTTACGTGTTCTATTTTTTCAAAATATAAAATAAAAGAAGTATAGCTATAGTAATTAAAATTATTATTTTAAGAATTTAAAGGACGAAAATATTTTGAAATAACAATCGAAATAGTCATTAATAAAAAGTTGAGAATTCTAAATCTTGTACCGTTACCCTTCAAACTTTGGCAAGGCTGTGAACTTTTAATTGAATTTTGGTAACGGTTACCCAGGTTCAAAAATAGACAAATAACTAATGAATTACATGAAACATTTAACAATTAAAATAAAATTTTATTATAACTATAAATTTTCAACAAACACAACTTCAATCATTTCCAGATGCCTTCATGTGCACTAAAATTTCCAATTTATACACTTTTAAATTTCCAAATGGTTATACTCAAGATAAAACTTTTCGATAAAAAGCACTTTTAAATTTCATATGCATAACATTCAATTAATTCACACTAAAAGAGACATTTACGAAATAAAAATACTAGCTCATTCTAAATTTACAAAAACATTTAAACTTTAAGTCCTTGTATTCCTACAGCAGATAATTAAAATTAAATATCCAAGGCTCATCTTAAAATAGGTATCTTAACATCGGATAGAAATAATTTAAAATACGGAATAAAATGCTCTTCTAAAAAGTTACTAAAAAGGTAAGAAATTAGAGTTTATAAATACACAAGAATCTTGCAGATCACCTTCTGGAACGCCCACCGGGCCTGCAGCTAGACTTGTGGACTAGGAGAACTTCGACTTTCTGACCGCCATTCAGTTCTTTAGAAACGTTCGATTTTCTGCCGAGGAACGCTCAATTCTTGCCAACCGTCTTGAACTTAGCGACATTCAGTCTATCACTTCCCGTCAACTATTCTGAGGCTTCAGATCAACTTTCTTCCAGACAACAGCTCATCCGACCAATGATGCGTACTTAGTCGCGGCATCCAGAGACTCTTTCCAAACACCAACCTTTCAGCATAGATCAACTCACTCCGAGACTCCAGCTATATCTAAACTCATTCTCGGAGATACCGGCTCAGAACACACTTCTAGCAGTCATGATAGATCCTGTCAGCGGTGAAGTTTCAACCCAACATTTCATCGGGCACGATCCCCACTCCCGTCGTACTGCTTTTTCAGCCACTCTTCACGCTTCTTATACTTTTTCCATCAAGGCGAAATAATCCATACTGACCTGTTTACTCGCTCAAAAGTCATCCCGCATCCAGGGGACGCCAGAACAAAAAGAAAAGATCCACAAGAAAAACCAGCTACAAACCCACTAATACGCCATAAAAGTGATAATCCAATCCTCCTTAAATGTTAATACAATTTATATCCACAATCTACCCCCAAAATCCCATTTTAAAAGGATAAATAAAAATTTCTCATGAAATATCATAATTCTGATTGCATTTAAATTTTATCATAGTGGTGCCATCTATTGAAAAATAACCCTTCTTTAAAAAGTATTGAAAAAAAAAAAAAAAAAAAAAAAAAAAAAAAACTCCAATAAATTCCTATTTATTACAATCTACAAATTTTCTTCATATTTTTTTGAAAGTTTATATATAAAATATTACAACATTGTTTTTGCATTTTAGGATAGGTCAATATTTCAATTATGAATACACCAATTGTTATACAATCAATGCTCGCTGGGCCAATGCATCAGCCATTCCTTTAAATGCCAGTATGTTTCGACCAAGGAGTGGGCGCTCTTCAGGTATTGTTCGTAATGCCATGTCAGTTTTGAAATTAATAAAAAAATTTCCTAGCTTTTTTGTAATTACTTTGACTTACTTCCTCTTAATACCTAATTGTTGAATGTTATTTGAATTGGCATTAAGTAATTTAAACCATTCAGTAAACACTTACACATGTAATATTTTTAAACATGAAATTGCATGAGAGTCTTGATCTAAAAAACGTAGTTTTAAACTTAGCACAATATATTTTGTTTCTAGAAAGGATTAAACTGCTTTAAATTTTTAAATAGAGTTGTCCATAATGTTGAACTTAGAAAGTCATGAGTACAGTCCGATGAATCCTGTTGTGAGGGCACGAATGACTATACACGATCCTGAGACTATTCCCAATCCTCAATATGATGGTGTCAGTTTGCAACCTGGACGAACTTACAACTACGGGATAAGAGAGGTGTCTGATTTTTATTATTTATTGATTCATACTGTTATAAATTCGTAAATATTTTGATAATTTTATAAATATTCTTTTGTTATGAGGCTAAATATCTCAGAAGGACCCTGAATAAGCAATTTAATTAGAAAATTAGTAAGAAAGTCGCGTAATTCTAACGTAATTTAGAGAGAAAATAACGTCGAATGTATTTCTTCTGACAGACTCGGCTTGGTGACATTTTTGTCGACTTGGCGATAGTCTAGGGGACTTAGGGATAATCTTGGTGATTTGGAGGGAATTAACTACCACTTTTGGCAAAGAAATGATAGATCTGGAAAATTCAAGTTTCGCAACGATTATACTAACATTTATGGAGTTATACTGGAATTGTCGAGAACCATATTGAAGGCTTCGGTGTTTCCGCGTTAAGCCTATAATATAAATAGGAGTGTGCCTCGTCAGAGTATTAGTCTGCTTGTGACTGCAATAGTGTTCCGTTTTGCTGTATTACGCTCTTATTTGAGCTGTAATTGAGTGCTATAAATAGCTGTATTTATTGGTAGATTCTGCTAATAAAAATTTTGAAGTTTTAATTACTGTTTCATTTATCTCCCTTGTAAGCAAACCTCTATGCTTGGAACAATATTAATGATGCACTAAAAAATAATTCTACATCAAATTATGGTTTAAAATACTAGCACTTAGGATAACAGTTCATTTTACTGTGAAATTTTACGAAAAAATATAGGATATACCTTATGTTTTATAGTAATATTAACTGTAAATTCACCTTGTGCCATTAAACCCTACATTCAATTCAGTTCAATACAGTGAATTCATCAAATCACTTTATTCAGATAATATTGCTGTAAATATTAAGGTATAAAACTTCAGGGTAAAACTGTATAGGGTAAACTTTTTACCGTAATTTGATCTGGAATTTTTTACATTGTATAATTTAGGTAATAAAATAAATCTTTATTTAAAGTTCACTATAAATAAAACTAATTTTATTTAGTAGATGGCAATAAAATTAATTTTATTAATTTTCATTTTAATAAAATTAATTTTATTATGAGTATTAAAATTTCGATATAACTTGTATTGTACTTTTACAATGGAGCATACTTACAATTCAGTCATAATTCTAAACTTGGGAACGCGTAAACTATCAATTTAAAGTTTACTGCTGCTCTTATGTTACAATAAAAAGCTTCAGATCGCAGAATATCATTCATTATGAATGGGAGCTGATTTGTAATGTTGATCGCATTGCAACCATCATGCCATTGGCTTTAAAAGTGACTCTTCACGACAATCTTGTCCAACAGCTGATTGTGCTTCCGGAATCTTTTTAACTTTTACTACTGATAATAATATTTATTTATTTTCTCTATAAGTTGAACGCAATTAGAAAGATTCATATGAATTCGATACCTGTTTTCAGAGTACCATCCACGTACTACCAGAGCCTTACCAGACTAACTGCAAGAATTATACTGGCCTTAAGGAAAGAAGAACCGGTGCAAAACAGACGCAAGAGGTATGACAATACCTATTAAATATGATGTTCTTTTTTCAATAAATTTTATGGATTAATAAACGTATATACTTAATTGAGTTTATTAAAATTAGTTAACTTAGTGAATGATACTGACTTTTTAACCGAAATGATTAATTACTAAAAATTACTAACTTTATATATCTGTTTGTTTTTAGGATTGCATGTCCCAATGTTGTGCAGAGTACCACGTAAAATATTGTGATTGTACAGTCCATAGATTATCCCTCATTTATGATATTCGAACCTGCTGGAAACAAAAAGAGAGTAAGTAACAATGAAAATGTCATAAATATACATTTCTTCAATTTTTAATTCTGAGAAATATTATAATTTCAGGGTCATTCGTTATTTATTCATTCATTCATTTGCGAATTCCTATTGCGCTAATTAATATAAGATGGGTGAGTTTCATAAGTTATAACAAAACGCTTTCTAAGAGAAAAGTATATTGGATAACATAGCGAAAAATGATGTTAACGATACAGTGTCTGAATGGAATCTGAATATTAATTAATAAAATATCACTGCAAAGAGCGCCATCTGTGAGAATGAGAAACATATATTATTAACACTACCCATTGTTTTCTTCTTAGGGGCAGTTTTAAAAGGGTATCATAAAAGACAATATTTTTTCAGTAGTGTAAATTATGTCAAGGAATTTTTAAAATTTTTTTTTTAAATGACAACTCGTATTTAATTTCCTTTATTTCTTGCAATGCCTTGAAAAAAAAGTGTAAAGTTTGCTAAATATTGATACATTTTTATTCAATCAAGTGCTTAGTAAATGCAGGTTCAATATTGCTTTGTTACTTGCAATTTTTACATAACTTTAGATTTCGACAGTTCTTCAATGTTGAATATGTATATATTTAAAATTTTTTTTACAAGTTCTTTTGAAATTTACTGTTAAAAAAATAGATTGAATTTTCTTAGCAATTGTTTTGCTTATTTCATGATGACTAACATTGATTTAGAAATTTTTATTAAAAAATGGCAACTAGACCAATAATCTATTAGGCTGTGAACTTTCGATAAATTGAACTCTTTTGTATTTCCATATTTATCATTATAGTTACCCGGGGAACATTTACTAAACGGTATTACTATCTACAGATCTATATTGCGCAAAAAAAAAAGAAAAAAAACTGATGCCGTCAATAAAATTGATTCTTACATTGAATATTTCGAACTGTCAAACAAACATAAATGTTTTTTTTTTCCTTTTAGAATCACTTTCCAAAGTATAGAAGTGTTGACATTTTTTATTCTAATTAATCTACCAGCGTCTTTGGACGATTACCATTCCTTTAAACACTTCAATTTTTCTTTAAAGAACAAATATTTTCAAAATAACGGACAAAACACCATGTATTACTTATTTTTATTTATTATTCTGGTTAACTGTAAGGTTATTGCAGAATTTAAATTTGATCTAAATAGTGTCTAAGCTCCAAAAAATGAATACTATGACTAAAATTTGATACTTTGAGATTTGGTTGGTTGTTTCTAATGCCACGTGCAACACACGGGCCAGCTTGCTTGGTGAAACCGGGCAAATTTAAGGCAGAGTGTGCGATTCTTGTTTTTTTCAGTGGCGCCATCTATGGCCAAGAATTCTATTTCTGCCACATCATACGTCACACCTGTTTATAAGGCGGACCCATTCATTCATCCACAGATCGTAATTTTGACCTGATTCAGAGAACGATCGATCTCCAATCCAGTACCGCCAGAGGTATGGGAACATGGAGGACTTTGCGATTCGACAGAATTTTAAAGAGCATCAGTCACCAACTACACGGGGAGTCTTCGGCCGGCGGGGTTCGAACCGTCGAATTCTCGGACATGGTCCCAGCTCCTTACCGACCAGGCTATCCCGACCTTACTTTGAGTTTTTACTTTCATATATAAATATGTCTTTTGTCTGTTGCATTACTTTTTAATAATTTCTTCATCTAAGTTTCATAATTATACAGAACTATTCTGCGAACAGATTTTTGTAATTTTTCTTTATTTTCTTTTAAATTAAAAATAAATAAAGTTTGATTATTTGGATTGTGCTGAATATTTTTTGTTAATTTTAGGTTTGGTGACTTGGGCGCACATGTCATGCATTCTATTTTTTTCATATAATTCCGTAATAGGTTTGAGGAAATTTTGAAACTGAGATAATACTGAAAATAAAACGATTTGTTTATTTAGAATTAATTAAATAAAGAAAAATGAAATGAACATTGTATAAAACAAATATTGATTGCAAACAAGTATTGATTGCATACAAGTATTGATTGCATACAAGTATTGATTGCAAACAAATATTAATAGCAAACTGATTGAACAAATATTGATAACAAACTAAACAATTTCTAAAAATATATTGAACAGCAATAAAATAATAGTGCTTTCACTTTCTAATTCTGAGTTTTATATTTATAAAGTTTGCTCACCTTTTGATTTAAAAGTTGGTTAGATGAACGCAACTAAAATTTAGGGTCACTGCTTGATTCAAATTAATCTAAATCCACTAATTACTTCCTGAAAGCATTATAATATTTAGTTACGAAAAACTATATTTATGGTGTTTTTTCCCCACCTATCTTTAGAAAATTGTCTGAAGGATCATGATCAAGAAGTAAAAAAATTATGTTACCCAGAATGTCGTATGCCTTGCACGTAAGTATTACTTGATGAAAAAGTTAGTAAAAAATATTAAAATTCTTTAATTTGACATTTTCGATATTTTTAGCTAAATATATCAAAAAATTTTAACGTTTTCTTGAAATCTTTTGCTAAGTATATCTAAAACTATAAATTTTGTATCTCGTTTTTGCTTTACAACTTTGGCAAGGGATAAAAAAGTTTTAATATTTGCTTGACGATTATGAATATGAATATCGATTATTCCTGCATATTTTTTACGCACAATACATTTCCGTTAATCAACAAGTTTACTGTCAGAGATCATTTATTTCAAGTACATTGAATATTCTCTTAGTTTAGAGCGATGCAATTATGAAATAGTCGTATTGAGAAAGAGTTTTTAGTGGTAAACTGAGAAAAAAAGTATGATCAAAATTACCAGAATGTGGTTGCTTCTAGCTCCATGGGAACACCAAAAAGTGTCGTGATTTTCATTGAAACGCTTTGCTAATGATTTTGATAAAATTATCAGTAAAATATACTTTTATAATATATAATAAAATTTGGTAAATGTTATAAAATTTAGTAATTTCATCATGATACCTCATAGCATGAAATAGAAAAAATTTATTGAGAATGTAAGTAAAATGAAACATTATTTTTAGAACCAGAATTTCCGAAAAAATTACCAAATGAATTGTTTAAATACAGTATATTTTGGTTTCTATTGCCAGAATTATGCTTTCTTTTCCCAAAAAATGTCATTATTATACAGTAAGTTAATTTTACCACACTGGGACTAATATATTTTGGAATTTTATTATAAATGTTAGCTTTCACTTAATAAAATCTTTAAAAAGAAAACAAAGTTGTAAGGTGGATGTTGTCATAACTATCTATTGAGCTAGCTAACAGTCCACATTTTTTATTACAAAGCATAAAAATAGTGAGCAACATACAAAATTGTAGTCAAAACATAATGTTACATTAGAATATATGGAATTTGTTGTTGAATCATAGTATGTGTAAAAGGACATAAATTATTTCTTAATTTTCCAAGTAAACAATAAGTTTATTACAATGTGTTTAGTAATTATTTTAATATCTTTTTCAGCAAGATTACTTATACTTATTTAGCTGTTGACTCATATGCACTTCAACAAGTAAGATTAGTTTTATTGTTAAAAAATATACATGTTTGTCAATAAATTTACATATTTGAATATTTTTTTAGGGTGCATGTGAAGATGTAGACATGTTTAATCGAACGCTATCAGATGAAGATAAGTATGCGTATACAGTTTTTTTCTTGTATAGTTAAAAATGTAATCCGTAATTTGTATCTCTAATCAAATCTTTAAGACTCTTTTTGGTAAATGAAATAAAAATAAAACTTCAACATAGATCCTCCCGAATTAGTATCTAAAATTTAATAATAATGAAAAAAATTTATTCGAGATTTAACGAAAAAGTATATTAGTTTAACACAGTAATAGTTAAATAAATATATCGATTAATTATATATCAACTATACATCAACTACTTGTAATCGTGATTACAACTTTGATTACAGCTGTAATCGTAATTACAATAGTCGATTACAGTATAATCAATTACTTGTAATCGTGATTGCATTTTTTTATAATTTTGATTATAGTAATCAAAATTATAAAAAAATACTTGTAATCTTGATTACAATTCACCAAAACTTTGATAACAACTGTGATCATGATTCCAAGTAATTGCGATTACAAGCAATCACAACAAAAACGATTACGGGTAATTAATGATTACAAGTAATCAAAATATATGATTACATGTAATTATGATTTCAAGTAATTATGATTACTTGTAATCAAACTATATGATTGCAAGTAATTACGATTGTATACTATAAATAAATACATTATGTACGTATGTATGGTGTTGCATATTTTTATGTACATGTAATGTACGAAAGCATGTACATACACTTTGTGATTCCTATATATACATGTACAATGTTTGCACAAGCATTGTTTGTACATACAACATACATAATTAAATTGTAATATGCATAATACAATACGCATATGCTTAGTACACATAATTATATGCACATATAGTTATTACACTAGTACATATAGTTGCGTAAATAAAATGCATGCATGAATGTTTACATGTGCATAGATATATGGCTTGTACGCGCAACCTATGTACATGTAAGTATATATCTATATTCTTTGTTAATACATATGCACGTATAATGTAGGGATGTACAAAAAATTGTTATATGTACAGAGAATGTTTGCATGCACATGCAGCGTGTCATGTACGTAATTACATTTAATGTATAAATACATGCGTACATTTAAGTATCTGTATTTACAATGTATGTATTCACAAACACTTTGCATGTATTAGAAAAATAACTGTATAGTTATTAGAGTTTGTTTTAGAATTTGTTCTAAAACATATAAAACTCAATCTCTTATTTTTCGGAAAGCAAACGATAATCTCATTCGGATAATCTTTAACGATAATCTTTATAAATTCCTAGATATTATTCCTACATTTAAAATTAACCCTTTCTTATTGCCATCTAAAAATTTCTATGAACTATGCATTATGTTACAAAAAAAAATAAATTTGTAGTGTCAAATATTTAAGAAAATACCCGGAAATTATTTTTTATTCAAACAATTTTAAAATGATATAGAACAATTAAAGCTGGCAACTTAATTTAAATATCGTTTTAACTTGCTAGAGTCGTTATCAGTGGTTTTCACACTTAACTTACATTTATTTTATTTATTGCATTGTGCATATATTTAGACATAAATGTATTGTACGTATGCACAATGTACGCATGTACAATGTATGAATGTACATACATTGTTCATGCATACTTGGAACATACGTGTATTGTACATGTGTGGATACTTTCATTGGACATAAATACATTTTACATATTACATACATTGGGATAACATAAATGTATACACGTAAAATTTATGTACAATAGTGAAAGATATGTGTACGATTTATGTGAAAGATTTATGAACAATATATGATATGTACAATATATGAATGTTCATCTGATCAGTATATTCTGTACAATATATGTATGCATGTACACATGTTATGCATGTCGAATGTAAGTATGTACATTTGTACAACATATGCATGTCGAATGTACGTATATGTATGTGTGAAATATAAGTACGCCCAATATACGTACAATTGTGCACAAATTTATTATTCATTTTTTGATACATACATTGAACAAACACATATCGTGTATATGTACATGCATATGATGTACATACATGCATGCATATGATGTACATACATGCATGCATATAATGTACATATATACACATATATACTGTTCATAAATAAGTCGTACATGCATGCATTAGCATACATTGAACACTCATATATCGTGTAAGTGTATATGCATATTTTGGAGATACATGCCATGTACACGTACACATATATTGCACATATATGCATTTATATTGTTCATGACTGAATCGTACATGCCTCCATGGGACATTCAGAGATTGTACATGCAGCCATGGGACGTACATACATTATATATGCATGCATGGAACACATTTTACTTGAAAATACACGTATGGGACATTCATACATTGTACAATGTACATGCATAAGATATAAATATATTTTAGATATCTGCATGGGAAATACATTGTACAAACAATGCATGTATGTTCATACAACGTATGTTCATACAGGTACTGGTATGTACATGCGTACATGAACATGGATATGCATTTTACATGCACAAGTACTTGCAGAAAATGCATACATTCATTGTGTATAAATGTACATGTCAACATTGTTTGCACATGCATATTTATTAGGTATATACGTACATATATTTTATACATACAATATAAGTATATGTGCATGTGTGTAACCTAAAATATCTGTACATATGCATTTATGTACATACATTTTAGTTATATTCATTCGTAAATACGCTGCATTCAAACACGTACAAAATGTATCATTATATGATACATTATACTATCTATTGCAAAATAGTAAATTCGTATTCGTAAGTATACAACAGTCTTGCAATCATATATTTTGATTAATTGTAATCATAATTACATGTAGTCACGATAACTTGTAATCACGATTACAGTTGCAATCAAGATTATAAATGTTTGTAATCATGATTACAAGTAATTGATTATATAGCAGCGTTTGCATGGTTGTATACGTATATTGTATGCATAAAGAGAGAATAAAGGTCCTATCAAAAGAGAGCAATAACTGATAATTAATTAAAATTTACTATCAGTGAATGATGATTATCAAAAAATATATGGTAGTAATGTTTTCAAATTTTTCTTTTGTTTAGGAGTAAGCTAATCTGCCTTCGTGTATATTACGCCACTGCAGATTCGGAGATATACACTCATCGACCCAAATATAATGTAAGTAATTATCAAAATTAGGATTTTCACACCACTACATAAAAAAAAGTAATTTGTAAGATATGAGTATATTCTTATATAATTAGTTTTCTTTTATTAAAATTATCAAATCAAAATAGTTGAAATATCTAAGGACTCAAAATTTAAAAAAATTTCACACTCTTTTTGAATTAAACCTAATTTAGTATTTAATTTTCGAAATTATCTAATGAGCCTGGAAAGTTTCGCTGAAAGGTCTTGAGGTCTTGTACTTAAATATGTAACACTTATTATACTCAAAGATAATTTTATGGCATAGTTATTTTATTAATATGATTATTTGAAATAGGTTTAATTCAGACTAAAATCAAGCTTTCTATTTTTAAGATCTATTTTCAATTTATTACATCTATCAATCTTTACATCTTTATTTTCAAGAAAAAGCGAAATTATTTAATTAATTTTAATAAAGCTTTTGACGCATTTTATATTCATTGGCTACAAATGGATTAAATCTGAAGCATAATTTTTCTACGTTTTTATACAGTAATGCTTTCAAAAGAACATACTTTGATGTACCCACATTCAAAAATTAATGTATGTTTTATTAAAAACATATCTAAATATTGTTTTTGAATTAAAATTGCTCTTTCAGGTATGTATTTTCCTCAAAAACCTCAATACATTTTTTTGTATTATTAATTAAATAGTTCATCGCTATCAAAACTAGATTCCACTTAGTATGTAGTATATTTTACTGAACTCTACACACTGTGTATCTCATAAAAAATATTCCGAAAAATTAATTAGTTTTTGGCATATGTGAATTATAAATGAGAGTATAAACATTATTTATACACAATGGTAATTTAAAGTGTTTTTACAAATTATAACAGGAATGTATTTTTTATTGAATTTGGTAATTTTAAGAAAATTGTTTTGTTTTCCATGAAAAACTGCTATATGAAGGCAGAAACTTGTGTACTATAATGGGACTAAAAAAATTAACATTCGATAATTAGTTCGAAAATTATACTAACTGTTAAACTTGTTAGAGAAATTCCATTCGGATCACTCTTCAATTATAGCAGGAATGTAACTAAAGAAAGAAAATTCTGTATGCTGAAAGGGCTATATTTGTTAATAAACTTAACACAGAGTTTTTTTTCTTCAAAATTCCAATTTTACGAAAGTTATTGCAATTTTAAGTGCCTTTAATGCGATATTTTTCGCACTTTCTTTGCGTAACGTTATACTTCGCTTTGCTGCACAAAATCTGAAAGAATTAGAAACTTGAAATTACTTTGAGATGTAGAAAAAAGTGCAGAGAGTACGACAGAAGGAAAAAAAAACTAAGATTTGACAATTAGTTCAGGAATTAATAATTGTTAATTTTGTGAAAAAAAAATATGTTTGGTTGATTTGTAGTCTGCTGAAATGCAACTACGAAGTTAGAATTTGACGATTGGAAAGTGCCATTTTTATTTGTGATCCTAACACGAATTTTATTTCAAAATTACAAATTGTTCAAAAGTTATTGCAAATTTATGTACTTCATTGTTGAAGAAAATTTATTTTCCCCTCACAAAACCGTTATTTCCTTATTTTATAAGCTCGCACAGATGTCAATCAAATTTAACAAAAAGAAAAAAAAGAGAGAATACACGTTGCACAAATTTTATCATTTATTGAAAAATTTTTAAAAATATAAAAAAACTTGTTAAGGAATGACAAAAACAATTCTTTAGTTGAATTGCTATAATTCTCATCAACGAATAAACTTATTTCTCATTTAATTTCTTAATGAGTTCCTTAATCTGTATTCCTTAGATTATTTTTTTTCAAGTATGTACATATGATTAGTTTTTAAATCTAGGTAATCAGCTATTTCATTACGAGTTACATATTAACAAAGTGTTCTAACTTAAAGCTAGAATAATTGTACATTTTGAAAATAAAATGCGTTGTGCTTTTGTGGAAAAACTTGACGTTCAAGATTAAAAAAACAATGATGAATGAAAATCAATTAACGGAGGTTTGTGAGCGAAGCATCTTATTTTATTGAAAACAATATTTTATACGTTTACGAAACGTTTTGAAATTAATAGTTTTTCTTTATAACTAAATGACTTTTATAAATTGATCATTAATTTCATAAATGGAAATCTTTTTTGCAAAGCTAATAAGTTCACATTTACTTTGCTAAATAAATTTAAAAAAGTATGGTCAAAACTACCTGAGTATGGAAAAGTTACAGTGTTTCTGGCTCTATGGAAACATCAAAAAGCTGAGAAATTTTTACCGAAGCGCTTAGGTAATGATTTTAGTAAAATTAACAATAAAATATTGTTTTATAATATGTGAAAATATTTGGAAAACGTGGATCTAATTTTCAGTTTTGTATTTTTTGTTAAATGAGTCATAATAAGAACTAAGATTTTGAAAACCCGAATTTCCGGTAAACCGTTACCATATGAATGGAAAAAGTACCAAATGGATGGTTTAACCTTCTGCTTATGGCTGGTGAAACTGATGGTCCAGAATAACAAGTGCTATCAGGCGCCACAATGTGGGACAAAATCAGAAAAATGCGGCCAAAATTAGAAAATTAACTTCAATGTTCTAAAAATTGATCACCTATTGGTTTTTTGGGTCGCTGATTTCAAATATGAAGTCATAATTTAAAAAACGAAACAAAATGGCGGATGATTATTGAAAAAATTATAAATAAATAAATTAAAAATTATTTACTAGTAGTTTTTGAGATCTTTGATTGCAAATTTGTGGTTAATAGTTCTAATAAATAAAGTAATGGATTTAAAATCGCAAATATTTATCAAAACAAATTTAAACTAAATAAATTGAATCAAAATATTTAAGATTGTTAATTGCAAATTCAATTATCGAATTTAAAAAAAAATGATGAATCTATTTTGCTAGATATAAAAAGTTTTGAAAATGTTATAGTAAAAATAATAATCTCAAGTTTATTTTTATAATTTTTTTATAATTTTTTCATTAATTTTATCATCATTATAAAAATGACACGAACTATAAAAATCGATATATCAGTCAAATTCGCAAATATTCGATGCTAATTTTTCTTAGTTCTTGAGTATATATACCAAGCAAATGTACAATTTTTTTTCTACCTCGGCAACGTAAAGCTTTTTTTATAGAGCACCCTAAAGTTACAATTCCATTGTACAGGGCAGAAATAGGGAAATGGCTCTGGTTTTAATAGTATTTATATAAAATAATGAATCCATACATATCTTAGAAATACATTTATGTATAAATCATGCATAGTTTTAATATTTTTATTTACTATAAGGATTTATCATATTAATAAAAATTTAACTGAAAATTTTTAATTTTTTTATTTCGACTTTGTTTCCATTTAATTGCTATTTCCATTAATAAACCAAAAAAAAACAAAATACACCATCATATTCCTTGGACATTTTACTACAAAAAACCATATTGAGATTTTTTTTTCTTATAACTTCATTTTTTTAATATTTGACAGAGAAAAATGATTTTTGTTCCACAGTGCGCCGTCGGCCGTACATTTTTGATTTAATAACCAGATTATGGTTTCGATGTGTCATTGTGTCATATGGTATAAGTGTCATTATCATCCAGGGCAGTAATTTTACCAAAATTTCTTTCTCCGTGTAATTTGTATGATAAAGCAAAATAAATTTTTTTTATTGAATCGGTGTTTAGGCTTTAACTTTTAGCTTTTGTGATTTAATTTGAATCTGAGAATTTTACCTTTTAGGGGATCCAAGTATTCAGCGTTATTGGAGGATACATTGGTTTATGGCTTGGAGTATCATTACTGGATATTCATGGCTATTTTGTGAACGGGGCATTTCTGTGTTTCCAGAAGAAAAAAGCCTCAAAAGAAAGTCATAAACGTAATAGTGTACAAAATATCCAAAACAAAATTTCAAATCATCGATATTGACGTGAATTTGCTTTGAAATGCAGAGCTATAAAGTTTACTTCGACACTTGCGTAATAATCTGTACTCACGAAATATTCAGTTCGAATGTAAATCATAATAAAAAAATACTTATTTTATAAGAACTACTTGTGATTAATTCTATTTTTATTTTTATACCATAAACTGACTTAATGTATTTTAAAAGTTCAAAAATGTTTATTTTCGAACTGAAAAAAAATATTTCCGTTTTAATTTTAAAAATATTTGAATGAATCAATAGTTTAATTCACACGTGCTTATTTTTGTAAAACTGTTATTCTTTCTTTCATGAAGCACCCGGGTATGACATTTTCTGCCTGAGATCATCTTTATAACAGTGATAATTTCCTTTTGATTATTAATATCTCATAACTTGAATCGGCAACAGCTGTCTATTTTTCAAAATTACGTTTTAATTTAGTGGACTGGTCACTTTTTCAGGATTCAATAACATTTAATGAACATATAATTAACAATAATGATAATAAGAAGCCATATTTCATGTCACTAACGCTCTTTTATTAGCAGCTGAAAAATCCATTCCAAACGCCTTACATAAGTTACCTACAAAAAGATATCAAACCCGGGTGGAATAAAGAACGTTTCAAAACCCTTTAGAGATCAAAAATGAGCCTGTAGAAAATTTTGCAGATATCTTACAATTGAAAATTTAATATTGTTCAAACAAGCACCGGCACTTGTTCGAAAAATTCTCAGACAAAGTCAGAAAAATTCCTGGATTATATGTATATGTAAGCGAAATAACTAATAACACCAAGTCAACAAACGAATGGAAGAAAATTAAAAAAAAAATTGCACAATATTTCACTTCCTCTAGGACAGAGAATTATTCTCAACTACATATGCCTCGAGTACTTGCGAAGACACAAATCTCGAATGGATAATATAGCTCTTGCACCCCCTTCTCTCGAGAAAGATGAATATAAGTAACTTCCAAGTAACATCCAACCACGCTAACAAGTTGCCCATGCAAAGTTCTTGAAAAAATTATGAACGCGAGATTAGTATATACACTGGTTATCATAAATTAAGGAAAAATCACAAAAATAGCGATAACTCTTTCAAAAGTAAGCCAAACCGTGCAAAATTTGCATATGTTGTCCACTANTGAACGCGAGATTAGTATATATATTAGAATCCCGCCTTATTTTATCCAAGAAACAAAGCTGTTTTTCAAAAATGCGGCTCTACAGTCGACAATTTAAGGCTACTAGAAGCGGTTATTCGCGAAGCATTTTTAAAAAGACTGTAACTATATTCTTCGACATTGAGAAAGCTTACGATCTCACATGGCGTTACGGAATTTTAAAAGATCTTTTAAATTATGTCATTATTGATATTATGTTCTATTTTAATAAAAGCTTTTTAACTGACAGGATGTTTCAAGCAAGACTGAGTAATATTTTATCTGACACTCTTAATCAAGAGGAAGGTGTGTCTTTAGGCAGTGTTATCAGAGTAACATTATTTCTCATAAAAATTAATGAAATTTTATCCACTCTGCCAACTACAGTGGAGGGCAGACTATTAGTAGGCGATCTTCGTATTTCTTGTAAAGCCCTTCAGATGCGTAAAATTGAAAGACAATTGCAACATTCTATTAATAAACTATAACTGGTTAGAACTAAATGGCCTTACTTTCTCAACCACTAAAACGTGTTGTATACATTTTTGTGGTTTGTTATTGAATTCATTTTCTATATTCTTTGTCTGAGTGTTCCAGTTGTAAGGAACTACTTATAGTAAAACATATATTAATCCAGTGTAAAACATGTAGACTTCAGCCTTATGGAAAAATTGAGGTATTATTGAGGTATAAATAAAGTATTTTTCAAAGGTATAAATGAGGTTGTTATTTAAATATGTCGTTAGAATGAGAAGAGTGCAAATGAATACCTCAAATTTTACCTCAAATGTACCTTAAATATATCTTCTGAGGTATATATGTATCAACCTGAGGTGATTCATCTTACATCTGTGAAGAGGTAGATATTTACTACTTTAAGGTGTTTCGTTCTTAGTCTTAGGTTCTTACTTATAAACTTGAAGTATATATTTTTAAAACTATGGAAGTATTTATTCAACAACCTAAGGTGTTTCCTTTAACAATTCTGGTTATTCTTGATCTACCACAAGCGTATTTTTTGACAGTTGTAAAGATAATTTTTTACTAACGTGAGGTGTCTTACCTTAGTTTATTATATTTTAACCTCAAGTATATATTTTTTATGCTTGTAGAGGTATTTTTTATCAACTTCATATGCGTCATTGTATACATCAAGTTTTATTATAGATCAACCTCAATTGTATTTTTCTGCCGTCTGATAGGTTGTTTTATATATGCGTGAAGTGTTCGATGTTCTACTTAAGGTTATTATTTTTGAACCTCAAGTGTGGATTTATATAGTTGTTGAAGTATTTATCTACTTAAGGTGTGCCATTTTGCACTTCCGGTTATCATAAATCAACCTCAAGTGTATTTCTTGACACTTGGAAAGGTTATTTTTACGTGAGGTGCTCAATGTTCTAGCTTAGGATATTATTTCATTACCTCAAGTACATATTTTTGCATTTTTAGAAGTATTAATTTATCAATCTAAGGTGGGACAACCTAAAGTTTTTTTTAAATACTTACAAAGGTATTAATTCGCAAACATGAGGTTTTATACTGTCCACCTAGTTTATTGATTTTTAACCTCCCGCTTATTTATATTATATAAAGAATAGTGTATATTATTAATTTATTTTACTAGTAGAGATCTTCTTTACCTACCCGAAGTTCTCAATATTACATATTCGCCAGTAATTGCGTCTTTGTTAAGCTATAAAAGAAAGTTTCAAATAAATAATTCTTCTGTAATTGCGTAACCTGTTGCTACAACTAGACCTAAACAGCAACTAGAAATATTCTTATTTTTCTCTCTCATTGCAAAGCCTACAACAATAGCCTCTCAGAATATCCTCTTACTTTCAATTATTTAAGATCAGGAAGCGTCTTTAAAACAAAAATAATAAAATTTGAGTTTAAAAATCGAAGCCTATTTGATCAAAAGTGATAAAACTAAATCAATAAGTGTCAAGCACATTTCCCGAATTTCGCATAGACTTAGTTAGTTAATATTGTATTTGAGCGAGTTAATATGAAGTGTACTTTAAACAATCTCAAAATAATCTTAGGTATAAATAAAATGACTTCATACATCTCGATAAATACCTCACTCTCTTTAGTTGAAATGAGGTAAATTCTTTTATACCTATAACAAAGTGTCAGAAAAACAACCTGGTATACCTAGAAATCAACTTATCAGTCTTGTCCAGGCCCATAGTCAGGGGGGGGGTCGGGACAAATCCCCCCCGCCGAAATTCTGGAATTCAAACTTTTTAGTCTTTCTTTGAGCTTCTCAGTAAAAAGAAAAACAAAAACTGTCGAATCAAACCTTTTCCCAGTAACTGATTGAAAGATTTTCGAAGCACGAAGATACTCTTGCATCTCTCAGTAAAGTGTTACCTAAGTATTGTGTGAACGTTGATATTAATTTATGCAATTTCCGAATCTACGCAGATTTCATTGACATCGAAAACCTCATGGGGGAAATGGAAGTATGGGCATCAAAGTGGAATCTGCGTGAACCCCTTAGTAGACCAGATACGGCACTTTCAGCAATGGAAGAATGTGACAGTATCTTTTCCCCAAACATTTATTGCTTGTTATCAATATTGGCTACGTTGCCTATTACCACAGCAACTTCAGAAAGAACTTTTTCTACTCTTAAACGCGTAAAAATAGCAACAAGAAATGCTACTAAAGAAGAAAGGCTAACAGGGCTAACTTTATTAAGCATATTTCAAAGTAAAAAAAAAAAAATTAAAAAAAAAAAGAAAAAGTAATTGAGTAAATTTTCTTCAAATCCCCGTCGCATGTCTTTGTAAACTTTGTTTACAAATTTATTATAATTATCATGTACTATTAATTGAAAAATAATTATTATGTAATATTTTTTAATTATAAGTTTAACATTTGCAAACAACAGAATAAACAATATTTGTTACAATGTTTTCCCCCTACTTTGCATGTCTGAAACTGTCCTTGCTTCTTGCCACATCCCCCCCCGAAAAAGTATCCTGGCTACTGCCTTGGTCTTGTTGATATGAAGTTAATTCGAAACAACCTCAAAATGAGCTGAAGTCCATGTAAAACGACCTCGTACACCTAAGTAACAACCTTTACGAGGTAGTAACTGAGTTTACAGTAACAACCTATACCTCAAAAATACCTCAAAACAACCTCAAAAATATCTTAAATTTTCGTAAGGGCAGAGACAACGCCGTTTTGTTAGCTCCGATCCGTCGTTAATTTCATTAATTGGAGATTATCTTCATTCCAACATTTTCTCTTATCTCTTTCAAGGACAAAGGTACTCTATTCATCAATCTAGTTTTTCAATGGCATTTAAACTGTTATTTATAAATCTAGTTTTAAGTGCAATATAGCCACAACTGGCTCTTACGCCAATTACTCCAAAGTCCAAACTAACTTAAAACTGTTAGCTGAGTAAATTCTAAAATACTCCTTTTAATAAATCAGTTTTAAAAAATGCATTTCTAACTGTGGTTTCAGTATTTTATTAAAATTTAATTATATGCTTGGTTTTAAGTAGGATATTTAAAACAAAGTGAAATCTAAAATTTAAATTTTTTGTTAGCCTTGAGGGAAATTTTTTAGCTGACGCTACGATCACTGATCCGACTAAAAGTTTATGACACGCGTTTAACGCTTGGTTTTAAAATGATAAAATTTATTCTGATAAACAAAAAACACATTTCGATTTTAATATTTTAAAGTCGAGTGACATTGCGAATATGTATCAGAAGTAAAAATTCTCGAATCTGGAGTATTTCTAAAAATGTTCGTGATTTATTTCAATGATGCATTGAATATGTTATTAATATCATTTTAGGCGGCACTTGGAGGGTCCAAAGAAAAAAGTTTTGTTTTAAATTAAATCGCCTATCATTGATATCTA